CTGGAGAAGATGACTTTTAAGCTTGGCCTTGAAAGAGGACAGAGATGCTTGGAGGGGCTCTCCTCTCTTTCCTGCAAACAGGAATACAACATGCAGTGGCATAAGCACTGCCTGAGTAGGGTCTGGATCAGCCGTGCTGATGTCTAGATCCTAATCTTAGGGACCCCATGATGAGCGTGCTGGTTGTGAGGAGCCGGGGGCCTGAAGCCTGCGCCCTCCAGACTCTTCCTCATCTCAGGCTGGGCGGTGGTAATTGTATACCTGCGGCTCTCACGTATTCAGGTTCTTCCTGCTTCCCAGGGACTCAGAGCTCAGAGATGATTGTTGATTATCAAAGGCTGACTTATTCCTCTGAATTCAGAATGTGCATATGTGCACGCAGACACACACATACACACATACATACATACATACACACACACACACACACACACACACACAGTCAGTTATCTAGTGCTGCTATAACAGAAATACCACAAGTGAATGGCTTTAAGAAAGAAAAATTTATTCTCTCATAGTTTAGGAGGCTAGAAGTTCAAATTCAGGGTGCCAGCTCCAAGGGAAGGCTTTCTTTCTCTGTCACCTCTGGCGGAATGTCCTTGTCATCAATCTTCCCCTGGTTTAGGAGCTTCTCAGCACAGGGACCCCAGGTCCAAAGGATGTGCTCCACTCCTGGCTCTTCTTGCTTGGTGATAATGAGGTCCCCCTCCTCTCTGCTCAGTTTTCTCTTTTATATCTCAGAAGAGATTGACTCAGAATACAACCTAATGCTGTAGATTGAGTCCTGCCTTGTTAACATAAAACTGCCTCTAATCCTGCCTCATTAACATCATAGAGGTTAGGATTTACACCACATAGGATAATCACAACAGATCACAAAATGGTGGACAATCACACAATACTGGAAACAAGTTGACACATTTTGGGAGGACACAATTCAATCCATAACACACACACACACACCTCTTTTCCATTATCCTGACACCTGGCTGCCTTGCTTCTCCTCCCCGCACCCCCGCCCCCACCATAGGTACGCAAGGAGCTTGAAGTAAACGGCATTGAATTCTACCCCCAGAAGGAATTTGATGAGGACTTGGAGGACAAGACGGAGAATGACAAAATCAGGGTGAGTGCTTGTGGTGCTGTTCTCAGGCAGATGCCCTCCTAATGCCCCAGGATGTCTATCATGTACCTCCTCTGTCATTCCACCTACTTTTCCCTTTCTGTACTCCCTTCCCTGCCTTGCTTGACCCAAACCTGAAGTTTTGTGGAGTGAGGGCAGGACTATGAACACACCGAGGGGGCTCTTGGCACCCAGAAAGCTGATGCTGTCTTCCACCCTCGGACCACACAAAGATGCCCTCTTCCCCACAGGCCTGGAAAAACCCTAGTGTGGGGTAGCAACGGGGCACCAGGCAGGAGAAGTGTCAGCCTGGGCTCCAAGGGATCCATACTCTAGTCAGAGCTCTGTGTCAGTATCCCTAGACCAGATGAGCGGTTTATAGGCTTTATTTCCCTTCAAATACTCTTTTTAGAAAATTAAATCTCAGACAGACTCTAATACATAAAAACAGAACTGCTTTGGCTGAGTGATGTGGAGCACAGAGGCCTGCCTTCTCAGCAGCCCCGGGGTGCCTACTGGGAATCAAGGCTCCATGGAACCTGGCTTGGAAAACATTGGCCTATGTGATTTCTAAGATCCCTCTCAATTCTAAAATTCTACAATTCTGTGATTCTGTGTCAGGATCCTGGGTTCTAGCCTGGGCTTTGTACTTATCCATCATAACCTCTGGGACATTACTTCCCTGCTTTGGTCTTAAGTCTCCTCTTCCATCAGATTTGGAGAATGTAGCAGAAGCCCCTTGTCTTGGTCATCCAGTGCTGCTTTAACAGAAATACCACAAGTGGATGGCTTCAACAAAAAGAAATTTATTCTCTCACAGTCAAGTAGGCTTACAAGTCCAAATTTGAGGCATCAGCTCCAGAGGAAGGCTTTCCCTTCTCTGTCGGCTCTGGAGGAAGGTACTTGTCATCAGTCTTCCCTGACTGAGGGGCTTCTCAGCACAGGGACCCTGGAGTCCAAAGGATGCCCTATGCTCCCAGTGCTTCTTTCTTGGTGGTATGAGGTCCCCATGTCTCTCTGCTTACTTCTCTCTTTTATATCTCAA